ATCCCAGGACCCTGGGATCATGACCTGAGCCGAAGGCAGACGCTTAACGACTGAGCCACCCAGGCGCCCCGAGGGTGTCTTTACCTTTTGTCATCCTTGTACCACTGGAATTCTGCGGAGGGAACAGCTGAGGCCTCACACTGCAGTGTTCCCTTCTGTCCCACGGGGACGCCTGTCCCCTTAGCTTCTGAAATGTACGGCGGGTCTGCAGAGAGAAGCTGTGCTGTAGCATTTTAAAATGCATCCTAAAATGAGGCGGGCTGCCTCATCTACTGGTTTTGGTGTTTACTCCCTGCTCTACTCTGCTTGCTAGAGCTGACAGATTGATAGACGAGTTAGCCAGAGAGTGAAACCATTCAACACGGTGCTAAGGAAAAGCTTGTCTTCCTAGTATGTATGGTTGCTGTTTCCCTCTGTGCAGAGGTGGAATGACCAAGTATTCAGGCGTATTTCCAGTTTAAACTTTTTAACTTTCATAAGGGAATGCCAGTCCATCAACCCTACACTCCTTTAATCAGCCTTACAGAATTTCTGCACACCAGGTTCTTGCCAAAGTCTATAACCTCGAACCATTCAATTCCCATCAAAAGCTCAGTTGCAAGAAATAATGTTCATGGAGAATTGCCTGAAGCCTAGACAGATCAGTCATTCTTCCAGGCATCCTAAAATGGATCCCCGAATCCAGCCGGACCAAACTAGACCTATAAACTTGGCCTGCGTTCATTTCAAGTCTTTATCTAACTACCCTTGGCAATTCCAACAGTTTGCATTGAAGTGCATTATGAAAAACAGCCATAATAAACTTGGCATTCTATTTATTGCAGAAATACCGTGCGTGATGCTGTTGACTATATCTCAAAGTGATCTATTTGTGGAGACACTAAAGAGAAATTTCTCTTGGGTCTCAGTACCAGGAAAAGCAGTGTTTCTCCCAAGCAATGGGTTTGCTTTCATCTTATGGACATAAACCTTAAAGCAGATGTTGTCTCCCACTTTGATTTCACAACTCAAAGCCAAATTCTGCACCTGCATCTCCCCTCCTTGAGGTATATATTTCCTGTGTTCATTTATCCCTAGCTTTCACTTATTGTCCTAAATCAGTTTTTCTCTTTGTGCACATCCCCTTACTTTTCAGGTTAATTTTTATTAACTGCAAGTCATTTCAAATTCTTTTAAAAATATTGGTGGTACACATTTTGGTATTAAAAACCATAGCATTGTTATACCTATTTCCTTGCTTCTTAAAGTGCTGTGTATTAAGGAGGTTCTAATTGTAACAGAAAGAAAAATATTAATGAGTAATCACCAAAGCACAATATTCTTTCCACACCTCCACCCACAAGTTTTGAAAGAGAAAGGTTGCTTGTCTACTGGTTTAGTTCTTGGGTTCTATCCTGTTGTAAGACTTCCTGAAATGAGCACAGCAGAAAAAAACTTTCAATATGTCATACAGAACTGAGTCAATGTATACTATGAGGAATCAAGAGAAGAGAGCGTGAAAGACAGGTGGGGAAGTGGAGGAGGTTCAATGTCAGAGAGAATCTGGGTGGTTGATAGGAGAGAATGAGGGGTCTAGAGGATTGGCCTCCAAACTTTTTGGATTCTGTACCTCTGTTAGTCAAAATCAGGTTTTGAGATGCATCCTGTAATATGTGTATGTTTATTTATATTTGAAGTATGAATGTGTCCTTTGTGTATCAACATGTAATCATGAAAGTATGAGATCACATAAGTATACCATAGATTTCCATAAATATATCATTAATTTCCTTTACACACAAGGTATTTTGCTCCCCACTATGGATGTGACTGGGCTAGAGAGGGAGGAGCTTGGAAACATTAGGAGCAAAGCATGGGAAAAACTAGGATTCAAAGATGCATTTCTATAAATTAGGCATTGAAGGCCATTTAATGATCTTCCAGGAATATAAGTCAAGTTTGGGATTATATTAAATTTCAGCTGCATTTTTTTTTTAAACTAGAATTTGGAATTGTTTCTCTCTCTTTTTTTTACTTGATTAATTTTTTTTTTTTTTTAATCGTTACGTTCTTCGCTGTGGCCATGACAGCAGCCTGCCTCACGCATGCGCAGGGTCGGGGTCCCGAGACCACTTACAGTTCACGGTGACCTTTACTCTTCGGACCACTGGTGCAGCCACATCGTTGGAGGCACTGCACTCGTAGTCCCCCGACTGCTCCCGCGTGATGCCCTGGATTTCCAGGTATTCGTCTTCACTCACAAAGCCCACGGCTGCAGGAGAAGGTGTGGTGAGAAAAAAACAAAACAAAATGCCAAAGGTATAAACTTAGAGAACAAAGCATAAAACGGGTATGTCTGCAGAGAACTGTGCCATTTCCAAGTTTCCGCTCTCGAGAACGATGCCCATTCTCCTTCCCCCACTCCCCGCCCTTCTACTGCTTCCATCATCAACTTTCCTTTAGTTCCCCAGTGGACCAGCTGAGATGTTTGTGCTCCCACCTAGACTGAACACAGAGCCTGGAGAATTACTGGTCCTCCATAAGTGATTATTAATTTTGACATTTACACTGCCCGAAACTTACCATGCAGTGGGGCTCTGGGGTCTAAGTTAGGCACTATAGGTGAATATGAACTCTTTCTGATTTCAAGGTATCACTGAGGCTGAACCTTGAAGTCTAGAGCTGATCACCACATCCCAGACCATGGGTCAATTAAAAATACCACACTAGCAGTTACACACACACACACACACACACACACACATACACACACACGAGCCACAAAAGGCAGTGGAGACACTGACAAAATAAATTCAAACTCGTGCTTTTAGATTTAGACAATCAATAAAATAAGCAAAGATCAGTTTTCTAAACTTTGATCTGCTAGAGATCTTGTGTAGAGATCCTGAAGATAAACCAACAAAAAGGACACCACGCTTTAACCACAAATATGGAAGAAAGTGAAGAGCAAGAAGACATGGTAGCAAACCTTACCCTGTCATGTCGCCGCCCTGAGATGCAGTTTCTCTGTTGAAAAATTGTGAATAATAACAACCCTCTACCTACTGGCTTCCTACCTGAGCACTAGCCATGAGCACTGGCTTACGGAAACCATAAGGTTAAAGCCTAGAAGACTGATTTCACCGTTTTCTCCCTTAGTCACCCTGAACTTTAGCCTACTTGTGGAAAGGCAATGGAGAACAAAAGGAACTGTTTACATCCCAGCATTATTCTGCCTTCTCTGTTAAGGAAAGATAGCTAGCATAATGACATATTTTATCATGTAACCTGGGATACTTTAAGAGTAAAACGGGGACCATTAATAGTTTCTCTGGGACAATAAGCATAAGTTGAGACTGTCCGGGCCACTAAGAGACATTTTGCAGGCATGTTGTACATACAGTCCTATAACCTCACAGGGTTGTTTGGGGTAACAAATGAAAACATATATATATATATATACACAAAAGCAATCAAAACTCTCACATGCAGCACACCTGTTGCTTTAGAAAGTAAGTCTGTAATCTGCTGGGAAGCACAGACTCAGGTGGAGTGAAACTATTTTATCATGAGTGGCCCACACGAGTAAAGGAAAGAAAGGAACATTTCTCTCCAGGTGATAAGACTCCCCCATAATGCCACATGGATCTGCTGATCCAAAGCATGAAAATGACAACAGTAAGAAACTAATATAATACAAGGAACAATAGATATGGTATGTAAAGTTACCATTGTATTTATCCTAAGGTAACCATCTTTGTCAAGATAACAATAGACATAACAATGACAGCAATTAGAAAATGACCATCTTGTCAAGAAGGGCCACAACCTGCCCACCCCTGCCACCACTCCTTGCTCATGAGAAGTCTGTGCCACCATCAAGCCCAACCTGAGCATTTCCTCACACTTCTGCCTGCCACATGGAACCCACACTGGATATGGGTAGACACTCTCGTGCCTTTACTACCTACAGGAGAGCGAAAGAACAGCCTGTACCTGTTACAGAAAGCAACCAAAATTCACAAGAACCAGGAACACATAGAAAACAGGGCCCAAAAGTCCAGGCTATGGAGAGGACAATCAACATGAACCTACAGAGCCTCACAGTCCCAAATGGTAAGAAACTTCTAATTAACAACACAACAGTAGCTTTTTTGCTGTTGTTTGTAAGCATCTTTGGGGGAGAAGTACTAACCGTGATTTGAGGAAGAGTGGAGGAAATAAGAAGGAAAGATTTACACGAAGAAGTTGTGATTCTTTCTATGTTGTCATTGTTTATTTTTTACAAACCTCAAGCCTACATTTGTCAGATCTTTCCCAGCTAGAATGCTATAATTACTGTGCAAAGCATCTCGGAGTCTAGTGTCACACTTAATATTCCCATTAATTTTAAATAGTAGTCCTTGGTACATATGTGTGGCAACTGGTGTCATATTTTAATTAGACTTGCCCTACACCATCTGAAATTAATAATAGCTCGAATTACCAATGTAATTTATAGATTAACAGTGCCGTAGCATTAGGAAATAAATTAGCTCTGGACAGCTGTTTCTGGACCGAGCTCCGGTGTCAGAGCAGTGATTGGTAGAAGCTCACATCTCCTGGGAGGCTGTGTACTGTACCACCAAAGCAAGGAAACTAAAGGACACAGGGGTCTCTACATCTCTTGTCCTTGCCTCCAACTAGAGGCCATGCATCTGCTTTAATTTCACCATCCAAATACGTTCTTGTGTGACCACAGCATGACTTACAAGGACCCAGCCTGGATGAACTTGTTATATGGACGTCCAAAAGAGAAGCAAGTCCGGGGGATTATAGGACTCAAAAGCAAGTACATAAATCCTAGGGCAATCACAATCAAGAATTCATCAAGTGGCAATAGGTGTATTAGTGTATGTGTAATTTTGTACGTGAGTATCAGGCAATCTTATGTAGGAAAGGAAGTTGGATGGCTTAAGATTTGGAGAAGCCGTATGTTCTGCATTGATCCAGATTTCTATTACCAGAGGGAAGGGATTTACACTTAAGTCATCCTGCAAAAAGCAATGAGGCTTAATTTTACTATCATATGTTCTTCAGACCAAATGTAGAAATTATAGAAAAACCACAATGATTCTACTGCTCACCAATTGTTACATGTCTACTTTCTGATTAAATTGGGTAAGGTACACGAAAAGTAATTTGTATGGTAAAATGCTTTGTACATTTTAGGTTTCATTGTTATTATTTTCCCCTTTATCCTTACATAGTTTTTTTTTTCTTTCTGTAGGAGAAGCATGGACAGCAAAAACAGAGAGAAAAAGATCAGTAACATAACAAATTAAACTCTGAACCACCAGAAATGAAATTCCTATAGTTGCTGCTTAAAACAAATGAAGAATTAAAGAACAACAACAACAACAAAACCTAAACTGAAATTTACAGAGGTGATGATTGAATTTATAGAGTTAATGATTCAAGGAGAGTTTTCTTTGAAACAGCAATTGTGCTCTGGCTGTAAATGATCAGTGCTTTATCACTCATATGAGGAACTTACAAAGAATACTGGGGGAAAAAACAGATAAGCAGAGCATACTTTAAAGTGCATTTAAAGTGCTAAAGGAAATTCTTGGTTAAGAGCTACCAGCAGGGAAAGGAGCAACTCACCTGATAAAATCCTATGAGAAGAAACCCTTCATGGTCAATAGCTTCTCATTTGTAAGTCTTTCTTTTCCAAAGAAAACACATCCCTTGATGGAAATGACACGTTCATCTTCCTAAAATACCCCCTCCATCATGTCACACCTCTCCAGACACTAAAAATGGCTCCCTGTTTTCTACAACATCAAACACAAACCCCACTGCCTTGCGGAGACCCTTCAACAAGTAGCCCGATCTACTCATGCCGGCTCACCTCACACCTGTGCCGTGAGGAAGGCAACAGGTCATCCCGGGAAAAAGCAAAAGCTTGGCATCAGACAGACCCAATCCTCTACTTGAAGCTTCCTGAGGAGTTGACTTACGTTATTCCTCTGCGCCACCATTGCTTGCTCTCTGCAACTCACTTAGAATAATGCTGCCCACCTCTAGCGGTGCCTTGAGGATGGAGTGCATGGGCCATGTGGTGGCACAGTGAAAGGCACGTGATAAATTTTTGCAGGTGTTAGCGCTGTCACCACTGTTGTCCCTACCACTGCTGCCACAGCTTTCGAGCCAGGCCCTGCTATTTTTCACCCTGGACAAACATCATCATTCCTTTTGCACAGATTGCATCTATCACTCAGAGAGCTATGTTCTTTCTGTCACCGAGGCCGACACCACCTGGCTTTCAAATCCTAATTCTTCCCTGAAAACTCCCGGATATGGGTTGAACTGTGTCCCCCAAAAGATCTGCTGAGGCCCTGACTTTCCGCACTGCACAGTGTGACCTTATTTGGAAACAGAGTCTTTATAAAGGTAATCAAATTAAAATGAGGCATTAGAGTGGGCCTTAATCCAGTGTGATTCCTCCATAAAAAGGAGGAATTTGGACACTGGCAGGCACAGAGGGAAGACCGTGTGAAGACACACAAGGAGAAGGCCACCATGGGACCACCGCGATGCCCCTACAAGCCAAGGAGAGCCGGGGATTGTTGGCAAACCACAGAAGCTGGAGGAGGCAAAGTGAAGATTCTCCCCTACAGCCGTCGAGAGCACGTGCACCAGCGAACACCTGGATTTTGGACTTCAAGCTTTCAGAACCGAGAGACAATGTACCTGGCGTTATTTACGCCCTCTAGTGTGGGCTACTTTGTTATGGCGGCCCTAGGAAACTCGCAGACGCCCTTCGGCCTCTTGTCAGTGCCTGTGGCTGTCCTGCACTCTTGTTCCACGCAGAGCCCTTCCAGGCTTTAATACCAGAAGGGAATTAAACGCGAGAGCTTAAAGAGACATTAATGGTTATATATAACTCCATAGTTGCTATATTAGGACATAGTTTGACTTCAGTAGAATTCCCTAGAATAGCTGTTTAAATATAAATTTCTAGATCCCACCCATATCTATTAAGTCAGAATCTTCAGGAATGAGGAATTTTCATTTTACTAGGAAATTGCCACATATCAATATCATTACATCCTTGTATCTTAGTGGGAACCTGCAATGCAGGAGAGTTCACATCTGCTTAGTGACGGACCACCTCGGGGTCTGCTGATGCCCGGCCCACAGCCCCTGCAACTACAATAACATTTTTTGGTGGCTGATTCTTTTATGCTGTTTGCACTGGTCTGATTTTCCAATGGAAATGAAACTCTG